AGATACAAACACCCCCATCTATTGCAGGAAGTGAAACATCAATCTTTCACGGCATCTTCGTACGAAGTTGTTCGAGGTCCCAAGAGATGGCGGATATATCCAAAGCGTGCTAGGCGTCTGCTACGTCATAAACAACATTCTTAGACTTATTTAAAAATAGCCATGTAAGAAAAGAAAAGCAGTAAATGTATAAAGTAAAAATAGTATACTGTCAGATTTAAGTTAAGATGTATATCAAGAATCGAGGGAACACCGCTGTAATAGAATAAGATGTTGATAAGAATGTGCTACAGAGGGCCGGATGGCCATTGCCTAGGCCTTTCTTTAATTACAATTTTTTTCACAACAACAATAATAATGATAACCGCTGTACGAGAGTACATAAAAGTGACATGCAATTAAAGTGCGGTTTTCGGGCAAAACTACGGTTGGGAGTCCGTGCATTTCGGAGCGTGAACTCAAAATAAAAGAAGAACAAGTGGCCAAGAAATGGAGGTATTGAAGAAAGAGAGATCAGTGACGTAGCTGGGGAAGAAGTGACGATGGTAGCCATGGACTGCGCAAACGTAAAGAATATAGTTAACAAATCAAAGAAATGAGTTTTGGGCGCTTATAAGATCAAGGATGGAATATGGAATATTTTCATTCCATAAACTTAAGAAGAAACAATTATAGAAGCTAGAGAAGATACAGTACAGGGCAAGACGCGGAGCGCCGGGCTACCGGAGTAGCACCCCGACCAACACAATGCTAGCAAAAGCCAAAGAAATCACAGTCTTAAGCAGGTCCGAACAGTTGGGAAGGAACTATGTATTGTCAAGCAGTCATCCAATGGTCCAGTAGCTGGAAGAATTGTCAGTTCTAGTCGGCATTCCACGGAGATGAGGAAAGCCCCTCTCAGTCATGTAATCCAATCAGGGAACTGTACCCTAGGCTTCAACTACACATACGAGTACAAAAGCCTCTTCTTCGAGGTCAGGGTATCCTTAGATGAGGGAAGAGAAATGAAGGAAGGAGGAACAACGAGGAATTCGAAAAAAAAAATCCTAAAAAGATGAAAACCAATAAATATTTCAACATGGACGGCTCAGAAATGGAGAACAATCCATTCGCATCAGGTGACAAGCTTGGTTTACTCTCCAACCATGAAGATGGAAGCAGTATGTTTCTCCAAAACATCAGTGAATTCATACTGGACTACGTGGCTTTACACCCAAGGAATTACATAAATTAAATGTGTGACGTTAGGGAAAAGATAATTAAGTCACTAAAGGTCACTTTTCGGGAGAAGAAAGAACTTCAGATATTCACACAGTAATGTCTTTAACTCAGTATTTCCGTACATTACAGAATTAAAATTATTGTGCTTAGAGACCTAAACGGTAAAGCTGATAAAGTTGCCCTTGTGCCTGAATAATTAAGCACCAAGTTATGGAGATATATGGGGAGTGGAGGTACGGCTCCTCTAATTTTGACCTCAGCAGTAGATGGAGCGAAAGGTCAGATTCACCCCCGGGCGTTTTATTACAAAGAAAAGAGCCCCCGGGACCCACTGGATAGAAGGCTGGGTGGGCCCCAGAGCCGGTTTGGATATCATGAAATAAAGAAAAATCTCTTACCCCTGCCGGGAATCGAACCACGGTCGTCCAGCCTGTCGCTATACAAACTGAACTACAGACATAATATGATTTTTATCCTATCCTTTTAAAATTGAGAATTGTATGTTACACTTACGTAATTCTGACCAATTCTTCACTGTACTATCTCTGGGTTAACACCACAGAAATTAAATTCGTAATGCCCGCGCACAATTGACGTTTCACAAACGACAACGACCGCAGCGTCATCTGTTCGATGCGCCTTGCCTTTAACACTAGAGATCCGTGCTGGTAGGTCGCGCGCCCCGCGGCCGTACGGCGAACTCCCGGGAAGGTCAATGTCGGCACCATCCCTTGCTTCTCTTGTGAAGTAGGTAAGGGGAGGATATGTTAGCCTGGAGTCGAACTCATGCACGTAGCATCAAAATTAACAATTTCCTTCTAGTTGTCTTTCCACGATGAGCATGTCTTCTTTTTACCAGTGGAGACAGGGTGCGACAGACGGACAGACGTCATTGTCTATTAATTATGTATACATAAAAAAGCAAAGTCATCCCTGTAACAGGCCGTGAAGGCCCATCGGGTTGTGAGACGTCGAGGCTCCCACATTTTCTAGAAATTCGGTTCACAGATGGCGGTGAGGTTGTCAACCTTACTCCCCGGCCACCCTTTAGCCCCAGGAACATTCCTGGCACTCATTTCTGTTAGAGGCTGAGTCGACCCCAGCGTTATAATCCGGCTGGAAGTATTAGGTCGATTGAAAAAATGCAATGATCTCATCGGGAATAGAACCAGCATTTAATCAAATCAATTTAAGGCCGGAATGTAATAAGAACCTCGTGTGAAGCGGGTGTACATTAGACCTCAACTCAATGAGTAAGTTGATGCAGTATAACATGAAAAATAGGTCTATACTACAAACTACATACTCTAAAAAAAATGACATCACATGAATACTTTATAAAAATAACATGCACAACGACATGACACAATATCTGACAACAGAAAAGCCGATATATGACCAAATGATAACGGCTATCTACCACTCCACACTAATCCCTGCTATCTCCTGCTGCATCACTACAAAGGACCGGCAGTTATACGTCATTATAGAGACTAGGCTACGCGCTGGGTGGCCGAGGGTTCGGGGGTTCGATTCCTTACAAGAGCAAGCGATTTCTCTCTTCTCCGAAACGTCCAGACGGACGAGAGTGACTAGGCAAATCTTTGTAACTTAATTTCTACGTCACATGACACAGCCTTAAATTTTACACTGGTTGGAATCCGATCAGTCCAGTTTTATCTGTTTTTACACTTTATGTAGCATCACACAGAAACCAGTGTACGTATGCACGTTTTAACAATCTGTTTGCAATTGAAGATGGCCGCATGCGGTCGTAATATATAGCGAGGAAGAAACACTCTGGGCTTCCTCCATGGTCCGTAATTCTCTAGAATACAACGTTTAGGAAACTGGATCAATTTTAGTCCTCAGATGAGGGGTGGAAGGCAGTCTTCAGTGGGGTCCGTTAGAAAGAGCTAACCCCAATCATTGGGAGACACAAAGTAGATGTCTCCCCCTCACCTGAGGACGGAAACAGATCCAGTTTCCGAAACGTTTTGGTCTTTAGAATACTTGACGACGGACGAAGTTAAAAAATCCATTAATACAGAGTGTTATACACCATCGTCTGAGCCCTTCAGAACCACGTGTAAGTACCTGTTACACTCTTGTGAGACCCGTGGTATAACACACACACACCTGTGTTTAATTACTTCAGGATTATGTCATGAAGACATATGGGGAAGTGGAGGTATAGCTCCACATTTTTTTACGTCGGCACTAGATGAAGGTTAGTGGTTAGCTTCAAGCCCCTGCCACATTACTGCCTCGGAAATATCCCCTGGTACCTATTGGACAGGAGGCTGGGTGGCCCCCAGAGCCGGTCTGGAAGCTGTGGAGAAGAGAAAATCCTGCACTGCATGGAATCAAACCCGCGCCGTTCAGCTCGCAGCCCGTCGCTATACCGAGTGAGATAACCCGACTACTATATATATATGTGTGTGTGTGTGTGTTGTAGAGCGGACTGCATATTTTCATGAGCGCGGGGCGCACAGCTTGCAGACTGAAACACGCCGTGTTTATGTGTCAGCGGAAGTTTAGCGCCTGATAAGCACATTAGGCTGAGTGCAACCACAGAACTGTTACCGGAACTGTCCCCAAAAGAGCAATATGCCCTGTAATGCAGCGCTACGGGAAACTGATTGCGCCTGTCGCTTGATCGACAGCCTCTCGTACTTGGAGTCGCGTGGGAGGGGCGAAGAAAAATTATACATTTAGAAGCCTAGTAACTTTTAATTTTTTTATACTACTTTCCTTATTTTGAAACAATAAAAGTATACTTATGCTATCACCATGCTGTCTGCGTGTCTGTGTGTCTGTCAATCCCCCTTCTCAATAATCTTCTGAATTCCTGAACCACTCTAATGAAACTCGGTATGTACCAGTATACCACGACACCTGAGCCCATCTCAACGGCTACTTCATATCCCTCCCACCAGTCTGTGTGTCTGTATGTGCATCCCTCCTGTCGTTGCTAGGTAACGGCTCGGTAAAGTGCATCCTTCTTTTAGTTGCTAGGCAGCTGGTCAGTAAACACATTCTTGCGGCAACGAATACATGCAGCAATAATTGTTGGAGGTGTCGTTTTCTATGCGATCCGTGTTGCACCAAACGACAATAGGTGAATATTTGTTCCCAGAACTTCTTGTCGACTAAAGTAATTATAGAGATTAGATTAAGTAATAAACTTCAGAAATGGACAATTTACTGAAATTGTCAAGTTGAAATAACGGAACCTCAGCGTGTACCAAAACAGTTAATGGGCTACGGACACACTGGAGCAAGCTGCCTTGGACGCGCAGTCTCATAACAAAACGACTTCATTATATCTTATACAATTCGAGTTGTTTTAAAAGCGACGTTACATGAAGACCGCTGCCTTCTGGGATATAACCCCGTGTAGTCCGCTGAAAGTCAATGTCGCCCCTATCTTCAGGGCCGAAGAATAAGGCAAGCAGGAGACCAACGCGAAAGCAGGCGAGAAACAGAGAATGGGTTTGCCGACATTTCGGAGGAAAATAGAAGACAGCTCGCCCGTAGCAGAGAGAAGGTAGAGGATTCCTTCAAATCATCGGTAGACACCAATCAGACTACACGGCGTCACATCCAAGATGACAGTAGTCTTCACGGTCACTGTCCTATAACCTCACATCTCATGCTTCTGCCGAGTCACGGCCCACTAGTTGCTAACATATATGAAGGTCATCCGAGAGTGACGCGACTATTCCGAGGCAGGTATATTTTGGTGAGTTGTTCACATTATAATCGCGATAGATCGATTCAGCGCGTCGGGCACTTCAGGGCTCCTCTCAGTAAAGCGTAGTCCCTCGGAACGGAATGTTAGTACTGCATTTACACAGCCTATAATTGACATGCGTGTTTTGTTATTTGGGAAAGACACTAACAAATCTGTAGGACATTCATGAGGAAACTCACTTCACATTCAGTAGCGTTCGATGGTTGTGAAGAGTTCCATCTTCAGGAATATAAAGCCGTGTTGTTCCCGAGAAAGTCAACAGAAGTTTCGGAGGAACATATCGTCTTCAACTTCAGGGACGAGGAATAATTTCACTGGCTTCCTGCCGCGGCGGCAAGGGTTCGATCACAGGTAAGTTCATGTGGGATTTGTGGTGGACATAGTTGAACTCGGCCAGGTTTTCTCCGTTTAATTCGCTTTCCTCCGTCCATTCCTATTCATCCAAGTGCACCATATGCATTAGTCATCCTATGATGGCACGCGGTGGCGTGGTTGGTTGAGGCACTATGCTGCAAGACGGAAGGTCGCGGGTTTGAGTCCCGATGAGGTGGATTTTTTTCAATTGACCTAATCCTTCCAGCCGCACTATGGCCCTGGGGTCGACCCAGCCTCTAACAGAAATAAATATCAGGAATATTCTTGGGGGTAAAGGGAGGCCGGTGCGTAAGGCTGACAACCTCACCGCCATCTGTGAGCCGATTGTCCGGAAAATGTGGAAACCTCAACATCTCACAACCTTATGGGCCTCCGCGGCCTGTTGCAGGGATAACTTTACATTTTCTTCAATAATGATATGACGTTCTACGTCGCTGGTTCATGACGCACTTTCGTTTTCATGGCGGATGAATTGTAAGTGGGTCTGTCCCTCTCTTCGCAAACAAATACAGCTCTTTATATAAACACTGATCCTAGCTTTCAGTGATACGGACATGCATGAATATTGTTTGCATTAAAATGTTTTTAGGACCGAGAGTAGCTTTTGTTTCGCTTCTCTGTCTCCCGGCGCATAACTCAAGATATTTCTGGCCCCCTATCGCGCCTTGTTCTCTACACACACACACATTAGCTTGCAAGAAGTTAGTTCGAGAACTTCGAACAGTCCTTGATGATGACGTAAGCATTTACGTCACTATCTGATGATGGCACACCTTAAAGGATGATTTATACACAATCAAACATGAATAGTATATAACAACAAAGTAGCAAACGTTAGCGTTTTATATATAACTAGTGAATATAATTCCCGTTAACAATTCAACGGAATGTCTCATCATTTGTTATGTAAGCTTCTGTATCCTAGTAACGGAATTAAAAGAGTCTCACTGTGACTAAATTTTCTAATCACACCCTAAATCTTCACAGGCTGTCTTCTAATTCTTCTTCAGCCACTTCCAGTGGCTATCTCATACCGTGAACTCTCGTGCCCGTGCCCCAAACTCCCGGTTTGGGGCACGGGCAGTCTAACATCAATATAGACTAGCTATTCCGCTTAATTTACCCCATCCCCTAATAAAATCACTTCATAAAATCCTATACAGTTCGAGTTGTTTTAAAAGCGACGCTACATGAAGACCGCTGCCTTCTGGGATATAACCCCGTGTAGTCCGCTGAAAGTCAATGTCGCCCCCATCTTCAGGGCCGAAGAATAAGAGAAGCAGAGAATGGGTTTGCCGACATAGACAGACAGCTCGCCCGTAGCAGAGAGAAGGTAGAGGATTCCTTCAAATCATCGGTAGACACCAATCAGACTACACGGCGTCACATCCAAGATGACAGTAGTCTTCACGGTCACTGTCCTATAACCTCACAATTCATACTTCTGCCGAGTCACGACCCACTAGTTGTTAACATATACTCGTATATCCGTGAGTGACTTGCACGATCCGTGGCGTGTTTTTCAGATGAGTGGTTCACCTTGAAACAGCGACAGAGGTACGCAGCGCTCTCCAGTCGGTGAAAATACTTTCTGGGTAATTGTGTGTGCAGTAGAGCCCTTCGGAAGGTGAGTATTGCAGACATGCTCAATTTATACGGTCTGTCTTATTTACATACGTGTCATGTCATGTTGTTTGTTAAGAGCCGGCAAAGCGACTGGCTACGTGATGAACGACTGAGGGGTCGGAGTTCGAGTCCCGGTATGGTCAAGAATTTTCTCTTCCCCAAATCATCCTGACCGGCTCTGGGATCCACCCAACCTCCTATCCAATGGGTACTGGGAGATTTTTCCCCGGGAGTAAAGCGGCCGGGGCGTGAAGCTGACCACTCACCTCCATCTAGTGCCGAGGTAAAAAAATGTGGATCTATACATCCACCCCCACACGTCTTCATGGCGTAGTGCTTAATTAGTTAAGCACAGGGACAACTTTAACTTGTTATTTGTTCATATACATGGATACTATAAATGAGTCATTCGCTTTTAAAACGCTATATTTTCCGAAGTATTATACGTACAGATATGATTCATATATAAAAAGAACCGTAAACTCACCAAGTTTGTATCATGTGCACCAGTTGGCAGCATGAATTCAGTGCCTTTACAAAATGGCGACAAAGCAAGAAAAGAGTTTTTGTTTGTTGAAATATGCGAGATGTTCGTCTGTTATAGCAGTGCAACGCGCATTCAAAAGAGAGTACGGAAAAGAACCGCCATGTAAACAAAGCATTTTGCGGTGGTATCGGCAATTTAAGGACACGCTGGATTGGGCGTGTTGGTGAGGATGACGTAGCTCTGTTCACTTGGCCCCCCAGATCACCTGATCTAACGCCTTGTGACTTCTCCGTTTAGGGGTACATTAAGGATAGTGTTTACGTACCCCCAATGCCAGAAACACTAGTAGAGCTCAGGGAACGCATCGATGCTGCACTGATGACCATTGACAGGTTGATGCTAGAAAATGTGTGGAACGAACTCTACTACTGCCTGGACGTGCGTCGTGTGACCCAAGGGGCACACATAGAACATTCGTAGAGTGTGAAGAATACTTTGTGAGTTTACGGTTCTTTTTGTATATCAATCATATTTGTATGTGTTATGCTTTGGAAAATATAGCGATTTAAAAACGAATGAATCATTTATAGTATCCCTGTATTTGGAAAAGACACTAACAGATCTACAGAGTATTCATGAGAAAATTAACAGAAGATTTCCATCTTCTGGGATATAACGCCGTGTTGTCCACGGAAAAGTCAACAGACGTTTCGGAGGAACATGTCACCTTCAACTTCAGGGACGAGTAATTTCGCTGGCTTCCTGCCGCGGCGGCCAGGGTTCGATCACAGGTAAGATCATGTGAGATTTGTGGTGGAAAAAGTTGAACTCGGCCAGGTTTTCTCCGTTTACTTCGGTTTCCTCCGTCCATTCCTATTCAACCAGTCATCCTATGGTAGACGGTGTAGAGTCTCGATACTGACAGTCTCGTTGAATAAGAAACGTAAAAGACTTAAACAAACGGAAGAATACAAGTAAGTCAAGCAGGAACCAGCGTGAAGGGGGCAGCAAACTCTTCTTCATGTTGGTTCCTCTTTCTTTGCTAACTCTTCTACCCTGAATATGGAAGTGACATGTTTTTCCGAAGAGTCGGTTGACTTCCAGCGGATTGCATGTTCTTATATCCCAGAAGACAAAACTCTTCAAGCGCACATAAAAAGTTCGGCAAATAATTTTTAAGGACGACCACGAAGGTCGAGTTTTGATGTCCTTGCGAGGGGTGGCTGTGGTGACTATTACAGCCTGGAATGATACGCAGTGTAAAGTGGTTGAAGTAGTAACGAAGTTGCTTCAGGCACTATGCTATAAACCGGAAGGTCGCGGGTTCGAGTCCCGATGAGGTGGATTCTTTTTTTCAAATGACCTAATCCTTCCAGCCGAACTATGGACCTGGGGTCGACTCAGCCTCTAACAGAAATGAATACCAGGAATATTCTTGGAATATTCTTACGCCGGCGCGTAAGGCTGACAACCTCACAGCCATATGTGAACTGACTGTCTAGAAAATGTGGGAGCCTCGGCGTCTCACAACCCTATGGGCCTCTACGGCCTGTTACAGGGAGAGAGCTTATTCCGCTTTTCTGCCTCCCGGCCCAAACATCAGATGTCGCTGTCCCATATCGCAGCAAATTTATAATTTTTTTAAAAATTCGCTTATATGGGGGGTGGAGTCCAACTGGGTGCACTCGGCACGGCGGCCACTGATTAGCCTATTGTAGCCTGCCCCGGGTGATTATGATGATGGAGAATTTGGTGGAATGAAGAGTGGCAGGGGAAACCGAAGTATTCGGAGAAAACCCGCCCCAGCGTCACTTTATCCACCACAAATCCCACTTGACCAGACCCGGGATAGAACCCGGGCCGCCGCGGTGGGAAGCCATGACTAACCGCTTGAGCGCTGGCGGGGCCATTTTATATATAACTAGTGAATATAATTCCCTTTGACAATTCAACGGAATGTCTCATCATTTGTTATGTAAGCTTTCTTGCTATTTACTTCTGCTTTGTCCTGTATTCGTATCCAGACCTACATGTTATCGAATGATGCGTCGAGGCCGACGTTTAACGCTTTCTTCCACGAATAACACGCACAAATAATCAACCACTTAGCTTGTATAGTTTACTACACGTCACATACCCACAAATTATATTATGATTACTCACAGAATAGACACGATACACTGAAGCAAAATTGCATGATAGTTCGCGACCTGCTACATAATTTACTTTCGTGCGACGTGTTAAACGGCCGAAAATTTATTGAAATTGTAATGCGAATACAAATACAAATGCGAATGCTAAATACAAAACTTTGTGTAGAAGGAAGTGGAACTTGGTTTGAACTCACGTTCCTGCTGTCTCCTGCAGTCCGTCCATCCCAAACAGACGGCATGCTAAGAAGGAAGTGTCGCAGCAAGGCGCGGCTAGACGGCAAAACGGTGGTGATCACAGGAGCCAACACAGGCATCGGGAAGGGAGCGGCCCTGGACTTGGCAAGCCGAGGTAAAGTAAAGGAAAATTAATAACGAATACTTACTTACTTTTTTTAATGCTAGTGGGGTGGGACTAAGTCCCTTGTACTGCGGCCACTTCTGGTCTATTGTACCAGCCCCAGATGATAGGTGAGGGTGATTGTGGAGCAATTGGTGGAATGAAGACTGGCAGGGGAAACCAAAGTACTCTGAGAAAACCTGCCTCAGCACCACTTTGTCGACCATAAATTCCACTTGACCAGACCCGGGATCGAACCCGGGCCGCCGCGGTGGGAAACCAGCGACTAACCGCTTGAGCTATGGCGCGGCCTCACTTACTTACTTACTCATGGAGCTGAGCCCTTCTGGAGGAGCCGCCAATTCAGCAGCTACCGAATAATTTTTCAGCATTTTATGGAACCCGAGTGTTCATTACCGTGTTCACAAGAGCCCTCCACCGGTCCCTATCCTGAGCCAGATCTATCCAATCCATACCATCCCATCCTAAATTAATAACGAATGCATGAATGTATTCGCCTTGTAGAAGGTAAACTTATCCCTGTGCTTAGTTAGGTACCACTCCATGAAGGCGTATGGGGGAGTGGCGTTATATAGTTCCTGGCATTAGGTGGAGATGGGCGGTGAGCTTAACGCCAGGGGAAGTAGCCCCCGGTACCCATTGGATAGGAGGCTGGGTGCACCGGTCTGGACGACATGCAGAAATGAAAATTCTTGTCCCCACAAGGACTCGAACTCCGACCCCTTAGTCGTCCAACCCATAGCACAGTCGCTATAGCGACTGCACTTTCGTGGCTAGTTGGATGAAAATCTGTACGCTGTTAAAAGAAGAAACGTCTCTTGCCCCTGGTGGGAAACGAACTCCGATTCATCCAACTCGGTAGCCCGTAGCTCCCCACCTTAGGACTTGAGGTTTCTCTGCTTTGGTGAGGTTACAAGACTTAGCGCAGCCCTTACGTGTGATAAAGAAATGTTGATCCTCATAACAGAGAGTGAGCGAATTAGCTACCAATGAAACCCAGGCAAATAGGCTTACTCTGGTCCTGTGAAGACGATGAATCAGACCTTGTCAAGATTCCTGCCTTCTTATGTGATGCCGTGTTGTCTGGTAGAAAGTTACCGAAGTTTCGAAGGAACCTAATATATCCATCGTCAATGTAGAATAGTGTTCTGCTATTGATGCATGCAGCAGGCTCTTCAGAAATGTTTGCAATTTTCTACCAGACTACACGGCATCTCTTGTCCTTTGTACATGCAGGAGGGAGGGTCATCTTGGCCTGCCGTGACCTGAAGCGAGCCCAAGACGCCGCTGACGACATCAGGAAACAGACGTCTGGCATCGAGGGTGCAGGGGAAGTGTTGGTGGTGCGTCTGGACCTGGCGTCCCTCGCCTCAGTGCGTGAGTGCGCGCAGCTCCTGCTGCGCACGGAGAAGCATATCCACATACTCGTCAATAACGCGGGTGAGTCACAGCACGGCAACGGAAATTAGAGTGTTCTGCTTGTTTCTTACTGGTTGCTTGGCTTCACTTACTCTTCTACCCTGACTAATGAGGCAGTAAATTTCTTCGAAGCTTCGATAAAACTCTAACATTCTGCATGGCGTCATATCTACCCTCATTGTCTTGTTATTGCTACGTGTTAGTGACTAGACACGGGGATCGGCTTGATAACTGCATTTATTGAAAGCTTATAACCCGTATCTACAAACGGTTACAAGAACTTCACTAACCTATTCTAGATCACTACAGCTACAGCACATATGAAGCATTGTTTGCTATTCTGTCGTCGCTGGTCGTTGCCAGGTAGCGGTTACTAACAACGGAGAGTTCTCACGGCCAACCACGAACAGTCATTTCTCACGTGAAGAGAAACGGCAGTTATTCTGTTGTTGCCTACGTATTCGTTGCCGCGAAAATGTCTTTAGCGACCCGTTGCCTAGCAATGGATCATATTCCGTCACAGTATGTGCTGCTTGCTTAAATATTAAAAGCTACATTTTGGCCACGCACTGTACTCATATATTACGACCCAGACACCACCAGAATCTGAACTCATCTTTCCGTGACTGCAACACAGTTATTTGCACACAACTGCTTTAAAACTTCACATGATTCTTGACTATGTAGTTCATATAAAATGCATAAGATGTCATGTAATGTCAGATATAGCAATTTTTGTAACGGTCGAAATTTTCGACTGTCGGCACTTCTAGATCTAAATTCGCCATTATTCACGACTGCTCACATCTGACTCCACAGGTATGTGTTTCTGTCCCAAGGGACTGACTGAAGACGGTTTCGAGACTCAACTGGGTGTCAACCATTTCGGGCATTTCCTCTTCACCTGTCTGCTTCTGCCCAGGATCATCCAATCAGCTCCAGCCCGTATCATCATGGTATCATCATCATTTCACCATATGGGTATGTGAGTAATTCCATGTTTTGCGGCAGTGTTTCTCAACACGGGGGGCGCGTCCCACTGCTGAGATTTGACAGTCGACCCGGTATGACTTGAAGCCTCGGAAGTAAGACATCAGTTGGTAAACGTAAACTTGTCCCCGTGCTTAATTAATTAAGCAACACACCATGAAAACGTATGGGGGAGTGGAGGTATAACTCCACCATTCTTGACTTCAGCGCTAGATGGAGGTGAGTGGCCGGCATCAATTTCTTGTCTCTTTACCCCCATGGCGGGGTAGCCATTGTGCAGGCAATTGGATGGGCCCCAGAGACGGTCTGGACGCCGTGAAGCAGATAAACGACTTTTGCCCCCTGCCGGGAGTCGAACCCCGGCCGTAAAGCTCGTAGCCCTCGCTATACCGACTGAGCTACCCCTTAACAATTAATAATACCAAAAAGTATGATTCCAAATACACATTGCATGTGAAAATGGAAGCATTTTTTTATTGATGTGGCACTACGGTTTTGCTCCTGGAAAAGCGAAGTGTTAAGGGTCACTGTAAAGTTTTATCTTCTGGAATATAACGCCGTGTAGTTCGTCGATTTCAACCGACGTTTCGGAGGAACATGGCGGTTCCATCTTCAGGGTCCAGGAATAAGCCATGCAAGAAATTAGCATGAATCAGGAGCCATAGCTCTGCTTACTTCACGAGCTGACCAATTTACTTCTTGCATGCATTGGTTGGGAGGTCTGATGGGCCCCAGAGCTATCCTGGACGCCGCTGTGTATCGAACCACGATTACTCAGTCTATCAGCCAGTAGCCGAGCAACTCTACCGACTTATGTTATGCCGTGTATCACCACAATCCAGTGATGCGGTGATTTGAATGATGACGTAGGAAAATCTGCGGAAGAAAGAAACTGTGGCCTGTTTACGTACAGCAAACCCTCGCCAATCCGGTTACAGTTGAGCAGGATGTCGGATAAACCGGATCGAAATATGAAAAATGAAAAATTCTGTTCACAGTTGCGTACATATTTTAAAAGACACATGCGATTTAGGAGCAAGAGAACTTTCAGACTGTGTTGAGAGCAGCTGGACCGACTGAAACCACGGAAGAAAATACCCAAGATCGGCTCCAGCTGCATGAAGCAGACCCTGGATTTCAGCTTTTGACAGAAGAAAAAATTGCTCCACTGATTTTTGTATTATTTATTTTCATCAGCACTACCCACACTATTTAATTGTCCATTTATTTATTTTATTTGTCTTTTGGGGCTATTTTTGCTCATTAATCCGGATTATAAGTTAATCCAAATTATCTATCCTCCAGATTAATCCGGATTAGCGAGGATTTACTATAATATCCCAACGTTTGTTTCAAATATGTAAGATAGTTCATAGCTCATTCGATGTTAATAGGCCCAGAAGTTGATTAAATAGCTTTGAAGCATGTAAACAAATGCAACTATACTTCATTAATAATTTGTAAATAAACTGGTAAGGGATGGCGTTCTGCTTGGTATTGCAGATCCAGACATTCCTCTAGACGATGTGGCATGGGAGAATCGGCCATACAGCACTTTCAAGGCATACTCCCAGTCGAAGCTTGCCAACATACTGTTCGCCAAGGAGCTAGCCGTCAGACTGCAAGGTAACAACATAAATCAGCGATAATATTGTCACGGAATACATGCAGCACCAGCGTTTCCAACGGATCGGTGCAGACAAAGCATGTGACTTGTTACATACGTTGTCTTGGGAGTCTCCCTCGCTACACCATTGATGGTTGTGTAATTAAGGACACGCAGGGGGGGGGGCATTGGTTGTTTGATTACGAGGGTCGTCCGCACAGCAAAGACTGCTTAATGGTTAATAAAATAAGCGAATAAAATTAAAGAATTTTATTTCATATCCTTACTGAATGTAAGGTAAAAGGTAAAGCTCTCCCTTTGCTTAACTAATTAAGCACAATGCCATGAAGGCGTGTGGGGGGACGGTATACTTCATAAATCACTCCCATCAGTCTTGTGTGTCTATGTGTATCGCCCTATCGTTGCTAAGCAACGGTTCGGTAAAAATGTTACCGCGGCAATGAATACACGCGCAAGATTAGATGAACTGTTGGATTTGGCGTTTTCTGTGCGGTCCGTGTCGTATCAGTAGAAAGTAGGAGATTAGTTATCCGCAGAACTTCTTCTATTTTGACTTAGCGGAAGCCTAGTCACTTGAACGACCGCAGACTTGACCTGCGCCAAGTTTTAAGTGCTAATATTTTTATGTGCCGGGCTCCGCGTTATATAATTCTGCGAATATTTTCATTCTTATGGTTTTGTACGGCTTCTGTCTTCCGCCTGAATACTTATGTTACGTAATAATAAACATACGATACTTTGAAAGTCGCGTGCCAGACTGAAACCGACTTGAGTCCTGGAGCACTACCAGAGCAGTAGACGCATGCGCGACGCAAATTCGCAAGCTGGGCAGACACCGTGAGTGCTGTGAGGAGGATTCACGTCATGTTAGCGCATAATCGCAAACTTCTGATTGAAAAAAGACTTGAATAATTACTCTGAAAGCCGCGTCGTTTCTATGTACGTTGTCCATGCAGTCCTCCCATCGAGGATTATACCGATATTATGCTTTTATTTACAAAGGGGAACTCCGGTCCTTTCACAGCAAGTGACTCAACCGGCCCTAAGTCCAACACGTAAGACGAAGGAAGAGAAAGGTAAGAAGGAATAATAGTGAAGTCGGTGAAAGAAGAAGTTATGGGATAAATGAGAAACAATTGTGAGGGAAGGAAAAGCATAAGGCTCCCAGGTTTTGCCCACTTGTCCTCCTGAGAACGGTAGTATGAAACTGAAGATGTTAGGATGGTTAGAAGTAGATTTCCTGAATTATTTTTAATTGCATAAATTTGGGCAATAATTTGGTGGTTTTACACGAGACGGGATCAATTTCGGTGAATTTAAATCGGGAGGGGTGCACGAGGAACATGCCGTAGCACCCTGGGAACCATCTAAACATTTGCCTAAATTCAGAGTAAAACCAGGAGAACCTGTGTCGAGTTGGCATTCCGGCTGCGCGCTGACTTCTAGCCAGTCAAAAGGTAAAGCTGTTCCTGCGCTAAAGTAAGCAAGCACTACGCCATGAAGGCGTATATATGGTGGATATATAGACCCACGTTTTCTTGACCTTGGCACTAGCCTGACGTGAGTGGTTAGCTTCACGCTTCGGCTGTTTTATCCCCAGAGAAAGTGCCCCCGGTACCCATTGGGTTGTGCCCCAGAGCCGGTCTGGACAACATGGAGAAGTGAAAATTCTTTCCCCCCGGGATTCGAACACCAACCCCTTGGTGGTCCACTCCGTACCAGTCGCTATAACGGCTGCGCTATCCCGGATCTTCTTCTAACCAGTATTCCGGAAAACAAAACAGTATGAGTGATCAGCTGCTAAATTGCTGCTGGTCCTCGCCAGCTGTGTGATTCTTGGTTTCGAGTGCCACGGTACTCACTACCTTATATTACCGCGTGACGGCTGTCAGAGTCTTCAGTACACCTCAAAGAATAGGAACGTTTACATAAACGACATTTAATTGCACACCTCACAGAAAACACGCCTTGTTTCCAGGAACCGGAGTGACAACCTACGCACTAAACCCAGGGAGGGTAAAAACTGAGGCTCTACGGTACGCAGACGACTCAATGTTTCGCGGCGCAACGCGTATTTTCGGAATAATCGGCTTCATGAGCATGACGCCGTTACAGGGGGCCCAGACCATCGTCTACTGTGCAGTGGATGAAAAAGTGGCCGAGGAAAGCGGGTTGTACTACAGGTGAGTGAACCGCGAGGTGTTACCACGCGCTATCACTGGGATTTGAACTTTACCTATCGCCCGGTGTTCTAGAAAGACGCCAAGGAACACAACGTCCCGGAAACTATCTAGATGTACATAATTTGTTGCTTAGAATGGCCGATACTGTGGCCTCCCAGAATACTGAACTGTTCTCCTGGGATATTCTGTATAGTCCAGACATCTACACAGTCGATATACTTACTACTCGTCAAAAAAATCATTTCTGTGAAATATTGTTAGTAACCTATCACATACAAAGTGTAACATGCCTGAAGACCGCAATCTGAACATAACCTCAACATCCCGTTGCAGCAACTGCAGAAAGGATACACCGTCACGTGCAGCCAGAGATCCAGTGAGGGCCCAAAGGCTGTGGGAAGCAAGCGCTCGCCTGGTGGGGCTTGGGGACTGGGACCCCTTTACCGCAGAAGTGCTGCCCTCGGACAGTGGCGAGGTCACGAAGTTTTGAAGGAGAATACAGCATCGTGTAGCACGTAGAAACGTAACCCTCAGCCGTCAACATCGTTTGATCATGTGCAACATGAACTGAGAAAGAGAGAGATTGGAGGAACATAACATGCTGACAGTTTGGTACCTCAGTTTATAATGTGGAGGTTACCCAGGACACGAGCAATGCTCATTAGTCTGGGTGTCCACGAATGATTTTTTTATTCATGTTTGATGATAAGTTTCTTGATCCAGAGTATACAAGGGACGCAAAGTGTAATTTTTCGCGGTTAAATGAGATTTGCCTAGTTTGGAAGCGTGTACAGAAAGCAATACATTTTATCTAACTTAAGTCTAAGAATATACTATTAATATTTTGTACATTTGCTACTTTTTATTCTTTCCTCAAATTTAGGAGTTTTGTTTATGAAGTAACGGACGTTTTTCACATATATTTTTTGCTCTACCCTTAAGAGCTCTGTAACTGGGTTTGGGTATTCTCTTTTGCTGTTCTCAGACAAAATGTCCATCATTGTTACCCTTCGGACCCCGTACAATTTAAAATCCCAGGATATATGTTCCTCCGTTTGCAGCCCCTCACTATATTTGATGTACCATTAGACAAAAAATAAGAAAACTGTAGCCATCTGTGAAGAACTGTCAAAACTAAACGTGGAAGACACGTAATTTCATGGCGAATAAAGAGCGCCCTGCCACGCAACTGGGTGAACTTCCTGTAAGCATGGCGCATCGCATCAGAGTTACAGGGAACACTATGAAACACATTTTAATTGCCCCCTACTTCTTGTAACGTAGTTTTTTCAGCAAAACATGAAAGTTAAACAAAAGAAAAGACTTCAGATTTCAAGTTGTCAGCGGTTACTACAAGCAGTAGTTAGGCCATATATACAGACTCATAGACTTTTCGGAGGAATATACTTCCTCCATCTTCAGGGTATAATAACAATCCAAGCAAGAACCCAACAAGAAGGCAGAAGCTACTTGTCTGTTGTTTCTTGCATGGTTTATTCTTCGACCCTGAAGATGGAGGTCCTACTTCCCAGTGTCACATCCAAGGAGACAGTTTTCAAAAGAAAACATGTCACAGTGACGTCACATCCATATGCGGTTTGCGGACCGCTGCACTAACAGATGTGTAGTGGTGCCATGCTCCAAAAACAGTGGTACAAGCCGGCAGACGAAATGCGACAGTTCCAATGTGTTGCAGAGTGAAGGTTTGTCATCATGACACAGCCGAAGCCATGGCGCTGACTTACATGCTTGTCTACACAGCATCCCATTAATCAAGTGTATTGCTGACAACAAAGTGGGCCCAAATTAATTTATTTATTTATACGAGATCGGATTGTCTGGGACATGACGCCGTGGAGTCTGACAGAAAGTTACTGACGTTTTGGAGAAACCTGCTGCCTCTATCTTCATGGAAGAAGATTTATGGTGTCGAGCAATTTCGGTCAAGCAGTAGAGCTTCTGGCTTGTGTAGGGCTCGGATGTTGGCTGGAACACGGACTGTTCTATTTCCGTGGTTTTCTTCAGTCCGCCCTGACGAATGTTGAGATAGTACCGCAAATTAGACCACTGTCCTTCCTTACATGTCCTTTTCAACTCTTAATTCACCACCATCTTATCATCCAACACTATGTAATCCGAGCTACTGCAACCCTAGATAACAAACCACAGATGAAGTAGAAGGTAAACTTGTCTCTGTGCTTAATTAGTTAAGCACCACTCCAGGAAGACACAAGGGGGAGTGGAGGTATAGCTCCACCATTCTTGACCTCGGCACTAGATGAAGGTAAGTGGTCAGCTTCACGCCGCGGTCGCTTTATCCCCGAGGATAGAGTCCTTCGTAGCCATTGGACGTGAGGCTGGATGGGCCCCAGAGCCTGTCTAGACGCTATTCGTGCTCGTGGCGGGAACCGAACCCCATTCGTCGAACCCGTAGCTCGTCGCTATACCGACTGAGCTATTCGGGCTTCCTGCTGATATATAATATAATACTGATCTGCTTTACTGTCCTGCATATGCATGAAGATAAGGTAAAGTAAAGTAAAGCTATCCCTGTACCAGGCCGTGAAGGCCCATAGAGTTGTGAGACGTTGAGGGTCCCACACTATCTAGACTGTCGGCTCAAAGATGGCGGTAAGGTTGTCAGGCTTACGCGCCGGCCGCGCTTTACTCCCCAGGAAAATTATTTATTTAATTCCTGGTACTCATTTCTGTTAGAGGCTGAGTAAACCCCAGAGCCTAGTGCGGCTGGAAGGATTAGGTCAACTGAAAAAAAATCCGATGACCTCATCGGGATTTGAACCCGCGACCTTCCATTTGACCCTGTGTTTATTTAGGTCAGTACTGCATCATGAAGTCATATGGGGGAGCGGAGGTATAGCTCCACCTTTTTTTTTAGCTTGAATTGGATGGCGCAAGTGTTTAGGTGCAGGCTTCCGACACAACAGGTATTTATATTATATCCTTTTGTAAAAATCCTGGGAAGAGCTAATCGCCTATTTTCCTTTGATACGACACGGACGGCAAAGAAAACTACGCGGACCCATAATTCTAGGTTAATCAGTAAAGCATTCTTAAATGGCTTAAACGTGAATTTTGTAAAGAAATTCCCTGGCTCCTCCTCCTCGGGAAAAAAATTCCTCGAGGCGACCCAATCTCCAGATGCAGATATGAGTACGTAACTAACTTCATGGAGCTGAGCCTTTCTTGAGAAGCTGCCAGTTGTGCACCTACTCAGCAATTTATGGAACCCAAAGGTTCACATGATCCCTCTACCTGTCCCTGCCCTCAGCGAGATCATTCCAGTCCATATTACTCCTTCCTATCTCTGTAAGGTCCATTTTAATATTATTCATCCACCTACTTCTTGGTCTTTTTAGTAGTCTCTTTCCTTTTGCTTTCCCACCGATATCCTATAAGCATTCCTCTTCGCCCCCATTCGCGCTACATGCCCTCTCCACCTCATCCTCCTTGAAATATGAACATATGACCCCCAGAATATGAACCAGGTGTGCTACGCCCTCGCGATTCTGAGCGGGCGCTCACTAGAGATGAAATTTCGTCCGAGGGGCTCAAGCCCCAGTAAGTCGGCTTAATTAGAACGAGCGCTGTTTCAGGCTGCCAGGATTAGGCAGTCAATAGGAATTAGAGTAGCAGCCCAGTGTTGTGTGTTGCCAGACTTCCCCTTGGGCGCTGCACATCAATACGGTGCCACGTAGCATGCAGTGCGACTATAGACGGGGTTTCGCATAATTGGATTTATTGGCCACTTACAGGTCGTCACTGGCCGCGCCATAGCTCAAGCGGTTAGTCGCTGGCTTCCCACCGCGGCGGCCCGGGTTCGATCCCGGGTCTGGTCAAGTGGGATTTGTGGTGGACAAAGTAGCACTGGGGCAGGTTTTCTCCGAGTACTTCGGTTTCCCCTGCCCAACTTCATTCCACCAATTGCTCCACAATCACCCTCACCTATCATCTGGGGCTGGTACAATAGGCCAGAAGTGGCCGCAGTACAAGGGACTTAGTCCCATCCCACTAGAAATAAAGAAAATACAGGTCGTCACTACAAGTAACTATAGCACAGTCGCTATTTCCACACTTTACATATCACTACAACACACGCTTAGTCTATTTCAGCCTGCAGTGTCTTCACTAGACGTTTCCTGTTAACGACTTCTAACAATGGTTATTTCTCTGTTTCCGTGCTCAAGTCCACCCTGAACGGCACCGTCCTTCAAACTGAACTACTCTTGCTACTGATTCGCTCACAGAACTGACGTGGTTTGAGTCTGAGGCTTATGTTACCACCGACGGTCAGTGGGCCAGTCTGTCTGGGAACAAAGCACCCATCTGGGGCTTACGGCCAGACAGTTGCGGGTTGTTGATGCGGGGCGCTCTCTCGGACGAGAGGACGGGTCTGTCGTTTACAATTGCTGCTGGTCCACGCCAGCGAAGTCATTCTCGGGTCGGAGTCCCGTGGGACTCATGACCATATTTTACTGTCTCAGATTCGAGACTTCCCATTTCGTCGCCTCCTACGACTCGCAAGATCACGTTGGAGGTATTCGACCAGGCCTCCACATGGGGCAGGTATGATTGCCCAGATGTTAATTTGTTGCCTACCCCGTCAAATGAAAAGGCAAACGTTCTCCTTCACCCTTCACGTGTTGTAGTCTCGCTAATTGCCAGCATTTCTCCTTGTCCATGCGGCAGGATAACTCTCCCCTCATCTCCTTCATCTTCTTTACATTTCACGTCTTGCCTTTCACTTTCCTACTTCCTGTAACATGTCCAAACTTCCGCTCCTCCCGCTCTGGTTCCTGTTCTGCGCAGCGACACTAGAACTGATTCATTTCTGACAACAGAAAATATCTTCAAACACAAAGGCCTTGTCAACTGCTGCACCTTATATTAAACAATATAACGTGGGACCATTTACAGAAGACGTGAACCGCTGCTGGCTCTAATGACACCAACAGTTCTGCCACTGGCCACGGTAAAACGAGGGACCATTTGCAGAAGGAGTTGACCGCTACTGACTCTAATGGCACCAAAAGTTCTGCCTTAAGACGAGAACTACTGGCCACGGTATAACGAGGGGCCATTTGCAGAAGGAGTGGACCGCTATTGACTCTAATGGCACCAATAGTTCTGCTTTAATATGACAGCTACTGGCCACGGTAATGATTTGTGTTTTGCCACTAAGCCCAGCACGAGTGGCTATTATGACCCATCGGGGGTTTCGCCTTCTCTTTCATACGTCATGTGGCGAAAAAAATCGATTTCTTGTTCACAGGAATTTAGTGCCATGTGTAAAAGAATTCGGAAAGGGTTTTCTGTGTTATCGGGGGGCAAGGAATGCAATAGCGCTTACAGTAGTCCAATAGCTTAGATTCACTTTTGGTATTCATACGAGTACAACGCTGTTTTGTCGAATGAGATACATTTTGTGCTGAATACGGAGAAAATGGAGGCTGTTTTTATTTGTAAAATTTTAAATGCTACTGAAATGCATGTTGAAATTTCAGTTTGAAAATTTTTCTTATGGGAAGAGAGGATGTGATCAGAAAAAAAAATGCTTAAAAGCTTAAGTTCGAGTAGTTTTAAGGCTTCTTTCCTGATCATCTTCGTGCGGTCGTCATGCTGTGGGCTGTAAAACGGTGCCCCCTTCTTAACTTTTTGTGTATGTGTGAATAAGAGCTACTTCGGTTTTCTATCAATTAATTGTACACAAGATTTTACAATTTTTTTTAGAATTATAATACCTGCACTCACCCGTCAAACTAGTCGTGCCCATCACCCCAAAGGGGCATGCCCCACGCCTTAGAAACCATTAAAATTTCGCAAATGTGGAG